CGCTCGCCGGGCCCGGTCTGTACCCGGCCTTGCCCGGGCGAGGCTGCCGCGTCTCCGGGGTGCCCGAGCCGCCGTGGTTGAGTGCGGCATCAGGTCTGTGGAGGTACCAGCTGCAGAGCCCTCGAGGCACAACAGAGGGCTGTGTCCAGGGCTAAAATCTGTTGGGTGTGTTTGTGGGGACCACACGCGTTCAAGGACTGAAGTGCATTGTGTGAGCAGCCCTGCTAGGCTTTGTGTGTTAGCTCATGGTTTTGTTGGGTTTTGGTTGATTTTTTTGTAGTTTTTTTTTTTTTTAAATTCTCTAGAAAAGAAGTAGAAATAACTATAATGCGTGGGTTTTTTAATAAAACACATATCCTGCTTGTCAATTCCATGCTTCAGTTGTTTTTCGGTGATGATTCCAGCTCCCATTAGGATTCAGAGGCCTCTACCACTGCTGCACAGCACTTAACACCTAACAGCTCTTCCTGTACCTAACAGCTGCTCCTACACCGCTGCTCCTGCCTCTTTGGCCATCAGGGATTGTGTTTGCTTACAACATGGGTTGACGAGGGGTTGCTGACATCTGCCCATCCAGTTGTCAGCCTGTTCAGAAATTCACTGTGTGCTGTGTCCGGTGTGCTGGGTAACCTTATGTTCAGTAGGGGGAAAAAAAGGCATTTTTGTACTTTATGTAGAGGATACAGAATGTAAGAAATATCAAGCAGCTGGTGAGAACTACTTTGTGCTGATGGAGAAAAACACTGATTATTCATAAAATGTTGCTTTGGCTCTAATGTCCCACTGTATTGAGTTAGGGAGCTGTGATAAAGCAATGAAGCAGGGTGAGATTTGTTTTAAGTAAACAATGAAGTTGTTGTAATTATCTTCACTTGATCTCATCCCTGTCATTGAATAATCCTCCTGTAGCCCAGGTTCAGGCTAATTTTAAATTTCTCTGTAGGCAAGGAAGGTACTCCTCCTTCCTTTTCTGCTTTCATGCCTAGCTGTCAATCTGAAAGAGACAGTTTGTGCTGACAGGTGTTTCTTACCAGTTTTGATACCTTCCCTTGTAATTCTACCAAACCCAGCACAGCTCCTTCAGAATTTCCAGAGGGAGAAGTTCCAAAGGCAGTTTTCAGAACCACTCCACATCCACTTAGTTGATCCCTTCAGATGCAGTTGATCCTGGTAGCTGTATCAACTCCCTGATGTTGGCTAAGGGTATATTCAATTGCTATGAGCCTTTCTTTTGTGAACTAATGAAACAAAATATTTGGGTGCATTGTAGAATTTGTGTTAAAGGCATTATGTCCAGAGATATAAACAGGAATTTGCATAGAATATTCTTGCTTTGCAGGTACAGCTACACCAGCAGCTATGCTCTCTGCAGGGACACTCCCAGCACAGCAAACTGTGGGAGATACTGATGTTGCCATTTTAAGGCTGAAAACTGTCCTCCTGCCTGGTGAGTCTCGTTAGTCCTCACAAGCACTCTGTGGTCTTCTGTGGATGTTGGTTTTGCTAGTCAGAAGCAACAGGTGATGGGGAGCAAAGGAAAACCACTGTGAATTGGAAATTTCATGGAATGGTGCAGTGATTACTCTCATGAGATTTAGTGATTGTGTAACAATGCCAAATATTAGGAGCTGGGTTTTGCACATTTGTTTTATGATGAACTCCTCAGAAATTGGTGGCCTTTTTCTTTTCAGAGGCTATGCCCATGTGAGTTGGCTATGCAGGAAGGATATTAGAATGAGTGAGCAGTCATGTAAAGCACAGAAATGTTTGAAGAAGGTTGTACTGGAGAAAGGCAGCTAATGCAGACATTGAGAATTTTCTTGATAGTCCTCTCCGTTAAAAATAAGTCCCAGGGATAAAGAAAGCTATTTTTTTTGGCTGTTGGAGGGATTGTTTTGGGTTTGTTGGGGTTTTTTTTCTGCTGCAGTGGAGCTGCATTGCTTATTCTATTAAAGTCTTCTCACTGACATTAAAACCAGGGAAATTAAGGAGGAGAAACTTAAGAATGCAAAAAATCAGTCTCAGTTCAGAGTTTAGGAAAAGGTCAGAGAACAAGAAAGTCAGAGGAAATATTCCCAGTGCATATAGCTGAGGCTGTGCTGCAGGGTTTGTTGCAGCTGCAATTACAATGAAGCCCCAGAAGACTCTTCAGTAAAATGTTAATGCGACTTTGACATTGCTCAAACCCTTCTGATGCAGATGTTGTTGGAAAACACCCTTCACTTGCTGACATAGAGAACTGAGCCTAGGCCACAATTTACCTATTGGTAAATACTGTGTGAAGTACCTGAAATGGGACTTGAAAAAAGCTAATGGAAAGGTAAGTTTCCACCTGCAAAATGGCTTTTTATTTTTCCGCTGTCCTCCAACTGTTCCTGAAATATGGAGCCTGTGGTCCAACCACTAATACCTTTGTTCAGTTTTCCATTTTCTCTCAATAATCTTGAGTGCTCACTGCAATACCAATTTTTGTTTGAAGTCAGTTCTATCTTACTGTGGCCTGTATTTATAAATGGCAAATCTGAGATCTCTGTGGAGCAAGACAGGTAATTAATCATGAACGTGTGGATATGCAGCTGAGACATCTTATGATCTTAGTTGAACTTTGCAGTGTCAGCTGGGGGATTCAAAGGAATGCTGCCAGATTAAAAAAAATGCTTTAATTGTGGAGAAATCATTAGATCAAATAACACAGAGTTGAAAAACTAAAAAAGATTAGATTGTTTATAAAAATCAGATATAAGTTTATTAGAATAGTGTGTTTAGCACTTGTGGATGGTCATTTTTACCATTCTGTGCATTTAGCCCTTATTGAAGGAGTTCCTTGTAAACATAGCAAAATGCATTGCTGGGGATAAAGAAAATCTTACATGACAGGAGATGCTGATATTTTTTAATTAAAAGCATTGAAAAGCTGCAGTAAGATAATGTCTGTAACTGCTTAGTGGAGATGAATAACAGTTGGAAATAACATATGTTCAATTTAGCTGTAGTTATGCAAATGGAAAATAGAAAATTTGAAAACAGTGAAGATAAAAGAGTTCAGAAAGAAAAAAAATTAATTGGAACTTTCCAGGGATGTAATTCAGAAATAAAACTTAGTGACAAAGATGTCAGCTCAAATATATGTTGCTTTTTATAGAATAACTGTTATTGTCCCTATATGTGTTTACTCACTATTAAAAAGCTGAAGATAATTTGTGTGAGTAATACCTAATTACCTTGTACGGAGTAAGATAGTTTTATGTTGGGTAATAAAAGAAGGGTTCTGCAGGGAGGCAGAAATCCTCTGCTGCTGCACCAGTGCTGTGCTCATCCCAGCCAGGCTCTGCAGGGTGCTCAGTAGTAGTTGCTTTTTCAGAGAATTTCAGGTAAGCTGTGTAAGTTTTTTCCTCCCTAGCAGATTAATTACCTGTGAGTGTTCCTTGAAGGAACGTTTTTCAGCTGGAGTTTGCAGTATTTATTTTCTCACACATTTATTTTCTTTCTTTGTTACCTGCATGATCATAAATTTCATGCATTATTATTGCCATGTTCAGGCCGTGAACCTGGTGCTTGCAGTACATCGTTCTTTGCTAATTCACTGTTGCTTATTTAAACTTTGAACTAAAATTCTGTCACTTGTTACTGTAAAACCTTTTTCCTTTGGGGTAAGTGGTTTGAACTGCCATTCCCAGCTCAGAGTGGAGAAGATGGTGTGAAAACACTACCTGCTCCTACATTAATACCAATGATATGAAGACTTTCTTTAAATAACAATGTCAGTATTTATGCTTCGCAACTGCAGTTGTTGAAGAACAGATGTATTCTTTCAGGCTTTAATTGATGCCCCAAGATGTTTGCAAAAGCCACAAAGAATTTTGTGAGAGAAATTGACAGTGGAGGTGACCTGATCCCTGTCTCCCACTTGAACGCCTCAGACAAGCTACAGCTTTTGAGCTTAGTTACAAAGAGGAGGAAATTCTGGTGCTGGCAGAAGCCCAAGTATCATTTCTTGACAGTCACCCTGAGTGATGTGCTTACTGAAGACAAACCGATAAAACCAGGTAAAGCCATGCTCGGGCAGCACTATTACTGCAGATAAAAAGAATGCAAAGCCTGATCTGTTCTGTTATTATTCTCCGTCGTGTTCCTAGAGGGCTCCTTTCAGAGCAGTGCTCTCAAGTATACTCCATCCATGGAGATGAGATGAATGGATCTTTTCAAACTGGACTGTTCATTTAACTAAAACAAGTAATAATAAACATTTGTAAAAAAAATAAAGTTTTGCCTGGGTAGACTACTGAAATTGAGTGCTGAAGGTTGTCAGCCTGTACAGTCCTCCTGTTTAATAACAGTGCTGTCTGCAGCCACAGGAGCTCCCCCAGAATATTTTTGGGGTGTTCCAGTATGTGATAGTAGTGTAAAACCATACTGTTCTCCAGGTCAAAAAGGACTGAATAAACAGTGTCTTCTTGGTGACAGTATTCTGTCACCAGGATTGCCTGCCCAAGGCCAGGCCAAGCAAGTTTTACCACTGATTCCTCTCGTCTTGCACAGGCTGTTAAACACGCTTGACCCTTGTACTTCTTTCTTCATCCAGCTACAACAGACCTAACCAGCTGGAATCACGTATTTCTGGACATGTCACAATTCCATGCAGGGAAAAGAGATATGTCCCTATGTTAAGATGTTAATCGCAGCCAGCTTGGAAGATTAGCTGATTCTGAGTCAGCTCTATGCTTCATAAGTGTATGAGATTCAGTTGTTTTAAACCAGTTAGATGCTTCCATTGGTTTTCAGTGGCTTTGGGTGAGCCCTGTAGTGAGATATACCAAGGTAATGGTGAAATACTAACCCTACAAGCAGGTCTGCTTTGTAGTTTTCTTTGTAGCTGAAATAAGTTTCAATCATTCTTTATAAATCTTCCATAGCATCCAAGTTCAGCATTTCAGTCACCTTATGTTGTTCTAAAATGGCAAGATTTAAAAGATACTGGAGCAAAGATGATGAAAATGTGAAAGAAGCAGAACTAAGATTTGCAAAGCTGTAAATTTTATTATTTACCTCTCGATGCTGTTCCTTGCCTTCACTAACTTGTCATATTTTCTGTAAGTGTTTTTCCAGTCACTTCAGGACCATTTCAGCACTTCTCTTCACAGGTAGAAATGACTTTTATTGCTTTCCTAGTGATTGTGGAGTCTGACTTTGCAAAATATATGGGGAAGTTTGAAGATTTTGTTCAAGGAAGTATTGAAGCATCATTTGTAAAGATCAGCCTGGGAGCTGGAGGGAAGGGCTATGTGGAAAACCAATCCTCATTTGGAAACCTGAGGAAGCAGGAGATTGACTTGCAGCAGCTTATGAAAGATGTGAAGGACAGGTATGTTTCTAATGTGGGAATTGTAAAGGCCAGGAAAGATTACTGACCTGAAAAGACTTGGGCCAGCTGCAGTCACTGAACAGTCGATTCTGTAATGTTGCCATAGTTTGAAAATGATTTTTATTGTAAGCTCTCATAGTCAGGTGAGAAGTCATATATACAAAAATGAAATAGTACATGTTTTGACATCTTGCTGGTCAAACTTTTCATTTTAAAAACATCTCTCGATAATTTCATCTTATGTAGTTGCATGTATTACTATGTGGAACAAGAGCCAAATCCTCCCTTCTTTGGGGGACTGCTGAGGTAATGATATGGAAAAAAATGGATTAGTTTCTCTATGATTCTTCAGCAAATGCAATGGAAAAGGAATTCAGAATGACTAATGTTCTTGTAAGCAGGCCTTGTAGTTTTGCGTGTGTGTGCGTGAGCGACTATGCTAGGAAATTGGCTTATTTGAAGCTGAAGGAATAGCAAATGTGAGCAGGCATGGTTGATGCATGTTCTACTAGTTGACCAAAATATAGATCTATCACTTCCTGTTATACACTGTAATAGCTGAGGGGAACCCTGTTCCTTGTTTTACACGATACGCAATGCTTCCTCACATCCTGCTCTGCTCTGAAATCGGATTAATTTAGTCTTGTAATAAGACAGTCATGGACCAAAGCCTACTTGGCAGCCAGCTGACAAGTCAGGGGTCTAATCTATTGCAGGTCCTGACTTGTGGGAGATGAGGGTGGGGTGGTTCATTTGTGACAGCATTGTACCCTAGATCCGTAGCAGGGGGTGTAATGCATTTTAACAGCCTTTGCTGATGTGCCGAAGATAAAGATGATAGGGTTTTGTTATCAGTGCAAAAATTGTCAGAAGCAGTGTAAACTTGCTTTAGATACACTGATGTTCTTGAAATAATCAATTCTCCATTGTCACAGGAACAAATCGCTGGTGTTCTTTTTATTATGAGCATTTACAAGTCAACAAGTTTATTCTAATAAGGCACCTTTGTACTCTCCTTGTACTAAATGCCTTATTAAAAGCAGAAAATACTGTGCACCAGGCCTGTAAAATTAATATGCATCTAGTATCAGGAAAATAGTATCAGTGAAGATTCAGAATCTTGTTTCTAGCTCTAGATAGAGTCCTATAGAGAAACAAACTAGAGTAACTTTGATTTAGATCAGTAAGCTTTTACTTAGTTTTCTGCAGTAAGTTACCTAATCTGCTCACTGAGAGAATCCTCCCGTAGCAAATCATCATATCTTGGGGATAGAATCCTGAACATAGCTAAACACTCAGAAATATGTTACCTTCTTTTGAGTGTTGAAAATCAGTAGCTCTACACCAATCTATATGTAGCTGTAAATGAGGTTGATGCGTGTCCCGTTTTATACAAGGAACTGCTTCTTGGTTCATAGAAAAGGTGCTTGTAGCTTATTAAAGCCTATGATGCAAAGTGTATATTGAGTCAGTCTGCCTTCTGCCAGGTCACTGAACATGATGAGAATAGCAGAGGTTTTTTGGTTTTTTTTCTTCAGCATAATGCAGAGGCTCACTGGAAATTGTGGCAGTGCCTTAGAGATGAAATTCCAGTTACTCACTCATAAATATTCTGTGATATATAATCGATTGTGTCCAGGCCTCTAGCTTTCATCTCATGTGGAGCATTGTGTGGAATTCAGGAGTGCTGGTACCTACAAGTTAGTGATTTTTGGGTGAAAAGTGTTACAGTACTAAGGGAATGTTTACCTGTGAGTCCTAATGAGGTGAGAGTTAACAAAGTGTTCTTGATGTCACCTAAAGACGTACAGTGCTTGTGTTTGTTTGATCAATCATTGTTTCATTTATTATTTCTACATATATAGCCTAATTAAGTTGCATTTCCAAAATGTTCTTCTTGTATGAGGCTGATTAAGTCAAAGTTGCCGATAAATAGCAGAAAACTAAGAAGGTCAAAGTTGATATGCTTTTTTAAACTAAGGCACGTGAGTCTTCAGAGTTCAGCAAGGTGGAAGTGTTCGGTGGCAGCAAATCGGTTTCCTGTCACTTCTTAGATGAACCTTCTGAAGGAGAATTCTACTGATCTTTTAATTAGATTCCAGATGCTGCATTGGCTCCTTTTTCTGAAAAAGGATGAGAGCTGAAGGATGTGGGATGTGATCCTTCCTGGTTTGCAGGAGCAATGACATCGTAAATGCAGAACACACCTATTAGCATAATATGCAATATTAAAATAAAGTTAAATGATGCTTTCAGGTATATAAACTTGGCATATTTAATTTATTTTATTCTTGAATTTTGTATTAAATTGTGCTTTCTAGTTCACAGAGTATTGAAACATATCAATTTCGAAACAGAGTCCTGTGCCTTTAACTCAGTGGGATTGCTATGGATTTAAGAGTATATTCCGTCTTCTATTTTAAGGCTTTCGATACCGTCTGCCATAAGATCTTCATAGAGAAGTTGATGGAGTATGGCCTGGATGAGCAGACAGTAAGGTGGATTGAAAACTGGCTGAATGGCTAGACCCAGAGCATATTGCTCAGTGGTACAGGTCTAGTTGGAGCTCAGTGACTAATTGTATACCCCAGGGAACAATGCTGGGTCCAGTCCTGTTGACTGTCTTCATTAGTCATCTGGGTGATGATGTCGATGAGTGTACCCTGAGCAAGTTTGCTGATGACACAAAGCTGGGAGGTGTGGCTGATACACCCAGAGGACCACGCTGCCATCCACAGGGGCCTGTACAGGCTGGTCTGGTGGGAATCTCATGCAGTTCAACAAAGGGAAGTGCAAAATTCTGCATGTGGAACAACCCCAGACACCAGTACATGCTGACCAGTTGCACAGCAGCTTTGCTGTCCTGTTGGACATCAAGCTGGATATGAGCCAGCAGTGTGTCCGTGCTGCAAAGAAGGCCATTGGTATCCTGGACTGCATGAGGAGTATTGCCAGCAGGTTGTGGGAGGTGATCCTTCCCCTCTGCTCAGCACTGGCGTGGTCAAACCTGGAGTACTGTGTACAGTTTCCTAGTACAAGGGAGAGACAGACATACTGGATAGAGTCCAGTGAAAGGACACAATGATGAAACAACTGGAGCATCTCATGTTTGTGGAAAGGCTGAGAGAGATGAGACTGCTTAGCCTGGGGAAGGGAAGGCTTGGGGGAATCTTATTAACATATATAAATACCAGAGGGACAGATGCAGAGGACAGAGCCAGGCTCATTTCAGTGGTGCCCAGAGACAGAGCTGGAGGCAATAGGCACAATCTGAAACACAGGAGGCTCTGTCTGAGCATCAGGAAACACTTTTTCACTGTAAGGGTGGCTGAGGACTGGCACAGGTTTCCCAGGGAGGCTGTGGATTTTCCTTCCTTGGAGACATGATCTTCGACAGACTGCTCTAGGTGGCTCTGCTTAAGCGGTGGGGTTGGACCAGATGACTTACCAGCCTCAACCATTGTGTATTCTTCCCTCCAGTAAAAACGATTATGAGGAGGTTCTAATCTCCATAGTTCTCATGGATTAACAAATTTGTTTGTTTGCTTTTACCATTTAACTGAGCCATGTGAGGTGAATGAAAGAGAAGTTCTGAGAGAACAGTGACAGCAGAGAGAAAGAAGACCAAGTGTTAGCAGTCAGTCAGTTCACATCAGCTGCAGAAAAATTGCCTGTCACACTTCCATCATTTCATGTGAAGGATTCCTAACTCTGTGATTAGCATATTAGGAAAGCAGGGTAAGTGTTATCAGCAGCATACTCTGCCGTGGTTGAAAGGTATTTTTACACTATTGCATATTGCACTTTAATATGCACTTTCATTGATTCATCTGTTGTCCACACTGAGACAAAAGTGCCTATTGGTAATCTGAGTGCAGTGGAAATTCAGGCCATTTTGTTATTTATTGTTTAAAAGTCCTTGAGCATTTATGAGTATGCTGAGAAAACTATTCAGTCTTCTACCAAAGGTGCTGCATGGGTAGTATGAAGTCACAGAATGTCATGAGACAGGATTGAATAAAATCAATTTTATGTGTCTGTGATTCAGAAAATAAGGAGGATCCCAAATAGAAAACAGGAACTACCTGGCATTTGCAGTCTCAGAAGTCTCTGGTACTCTTGGGGAAGATGTTCTATGAAGTAATTGTCAGGTTATTCTGTATGGAAAATTGTGGCATGCTATCAATAAGCTGACTATTGCAGATACTGTGTTTCAGTATGGCTGTAAGAAGTAGGTCAGAGAGGTTGTATTTGGAATGGATTAACAAAAGAAGTTCTATGCATCTGTGCATGGTGGAAGTGGCAGAGTGAGGTCTGGTGGATTTTATTCCATGGCACTCATCTAGAGGTCTCTGTTAGAGAAGGAACAAAGCTGGGCTCAGGTTCTCACAGTGCAGCAAGCAGCATTTGTATGGAAGACATCACGCTGTTGTGCATTATAAATGAAGCAGAGAAGAGTCTGTGAGCGTGGGCCACCCTTGTCTCTACAGCTGGGAGAGGTGGTGTGCTGAGGTGACATTGCCCAGTGCAGGACTGAAAAGGCTTTTCACTTATGGGTAGCTTGGACTAGTGAAAATTCATGCAGGCGGGCAGCAGTGCTGACTTCAGTGTAAGAATGGGAAATACTCACGGCAGTAACCGTTCTTCTTGGTATTTGTAGTAAACTGGCAAGCACCTTGCTTTGAGGGTTTGAGGGGTGGGTTACTGAGAACACTAGACAGGATTTGATGGAAAAATGGTGCTAAGGCCCCTCTGTTGTTGAAGATTTGGTCAAATTCTGTGCTTAAAGGAAAGCCCCTCAGTCTCAGCAGTGGAGTTTAGAACAGGCTCCTGCTCCCTGCTCTAACTGTGAGAGTCTGCTATATTGTCAGGTATTGTCTGTTTTCTCTTGCCTTCATTTGATTTCTGCCTTTCTCCCTTGTTTTCTGCCTCCAGTCTGCAGCAAATTGCCTTTGTGTCTCTACTGTCCACTGCTCTCCGCACGTAACGAGAAAAAGGTTGAATGAAGGTGGAGGAAGTCTTTGCATTATAGGAGACTGAAAGTGTTTAATCCAATTCAATGTGGAGAGAGTGAGACCAAAACTCAAATTTTTTTCCTTTACAAGTCTGACCTACAGACCTTCCCACATAGTAAATCATTGACCTCAGGAAGGTTATTTAAGCAGAACAAACAAACAAAATCCTGTGATCCTTATCTTTTAAGCAATCTTTATGTATACAGGCTCATACTCTGTGTATTGATAATGGGACTTAGCAAACCAACACCTCATTGTATTTTATATAATGTTACTTTTGAGTACTTCAGCTCAGCTTCTCCAGGTGGGAAGGATGTAGTACATATAGGTGGCACAAGGTTGGTGAGGGTTCCTGTACAATTGATAGTGGAGGAGATGGTAAGAGTGATGGTTGCAGAACAGAAATAAAAGCTCTGAAACGCGACCTGTAGAGTTAAAAAATGCAATGCAATTCATGTGCCTGCAATATTCTCAGGGACCTAATTCACCCATCCTGTTTTACTCAGATATGTTCTTGATATTCAGAGTGTTATGCTAGCAAGTAAATTCAGCTCTTTCCAAAATGCAGTCACAGATTGTGACCAATGCTCTGCAATACTTGAAGCCCTGCAGTAATTGTCAAACTTTAACCCTGTTGCATTTTGCTCTTTTCATTGTTTGCATTGCTGTTTTCACTGATAATTTAGATAAGCTGGGTATGTGCTGACCTCACGTCATCTCCTGTTTGAGTCTCTGAGAAGAGCAGAATGTTTTGCCTTCAACGGGCTGTACCCCAGTAATAACTTGTTGCATGTGATGTGCCCACATGCAACCCTGGAGTCTGTTTTATGATAGAAAGTTCAGGGCCAGAAGTTTAGAGGAGAGCATTTAACTGTACTGTCCTAGAAGAAAATGTATTTGTGAGTGTGGGTGAGTGTTTTAAAGCTCTGAATTTAGTGCTCTGTAAACTTTGGTGGGCAGAGCAGAGCATTTCTCTTGGCTTTACAGTTGAATGCATCCCACTGAAGTCACTTGAACCTTAAGGCTGAGGCAGTGACTGTGTCTCTGCCACACAATGCAGCTTTATGCAGAGGACCCCAAGTCACCTCTGAGGCACTGCGTGTGGGAGTGCTGCATCAGGGGCCAGAGCAGGTAGCTGTGTGCCCCTGTGTCACTGTGCAGCCTCCAGTGCTGTGGCAGCTCCTCCAGCACTGCCTCCAACATTTGTTCACTGCACTTCTGTGCAAGTTAACCAATATCTTCTGACTCTACCACTCTGCTATTAGTTCTGCATCTGGACCTCAAAGCCAGGAGCGTGACAGGGTCTGAGCCAGTCCTGCCTTGGGCAGAATACTGTGGAAGCAGATGGAAGAAAAAGTGTCTTGAATTATTTTGGTAATTCTTTTGTATAGAGTTAGGTCATATTCTCTATGCTTCTTTCATTAATGCTCATTCAGAAATAGCAAATCTCTAATCTGTATTTTCCTGCCTTTGATTGTTGTTTATTGTTTGTTTTTTTTCTCTGACTTTCAAGGATATCCATCAAGTTTGTCCTCTAAACCAAGCAAAAATAATATATGAAAGCAAATGACATTGCTTTTGTGCTTCTTTATTGTATTTCTTGCCTTGTGGCTTCTCAGGTCAAACATTAAAACTGTGAGTTCTTAGTGCATTAATTTGTGTTTTCAAGATGCTTAGCACACCTCTTCAGAAACATAAATAATTGTTGTGACATATATGATAGACATTATGGTCTGTGGTTGTGATAACAAATGGCTTGGGTTTGGCAGACACTTCTAAGAGTAGTGGTGTTTGTGATTGCTTGACATTTCATCAGTTTTTGTCTAATCCAAACATTCATTGCATTCCAAGCATAAAACATGCCTTTGCACCAAAATCAAAAAAAGAGTGGTATTAATAATCTCAGGAATGTTTGGGGCTGCTTTTCTAGTGGCTGCTGCATTGCTTCAGAGGTATTTTCTTTCTCTTGTTTAAACATTCAACTTTAAGGTTTTCAGACAGTTCATTCCAACTGATTGAACTTTCATATAAGCATGTAACTCTCCAAAGATCAAAAATTGCCTGAGGATATTTTTAATTCAATAAAAAACCAAGCTGACTTCAGCCTTACACAGACTGCATAAATTCAAAGCTCTGGAATCTAATAAATCTAAAACTTTTTAATTAAAACTGGAGATATCTCGATTTAAATGGAGTCAGACATGTCTTTCTGTCACATATTTGGGGAATTGTCATTTAGCTCCATGAATAGCCATTTACAGTAGAAAGGAAAAGACTGAATAACTTGAGCCAGGGATAGCAATCCTTTAATCTTCCAACTGTCTTGCTAGAGTTATCCATTCATAGAAAATACCACATCTCATCTGAGGACCTCCAATGAGTATTTTGCAAAAGTATTATATAATTCACACATTTAGTCAATTAAATGCAATAAAGAAGTAGCTTTGACTGGTACCAGAAATATTGTTAATACCTCAAAAGACAAGGTAGTGGGTTTTGTAATCTTAGAAAATAAGTCTCCTGTATTGCTTCTAGGAGTTCACTTTCTGTCTTCTGCTGACTTTAAGAACCACCTAATGTTAGAACTATCTCCAGCAGCATTTAAACACACATGGAATTATGCTGTGGAGGAGGGATGGCTTGTTAAGTTGTGGCATGGGCTAGAGATTTGAGGTCCCTCCCACAGTTAGTTTTTCTTTTGACTGTGACAATCCTGGTCACTAATTGCAAATATGGAGGTTATACTAATGAATTACGCAGGAGTTTATAGTGGGTGTTTTTTCCGGTAACCTCCAGTCTCATAATCCATGAAATCTCTTCTGTGTTTTCTCATCCAGCCCTTTGAAGTACTTGGTCAGTGCTGATCCCACTCAGCCCGTTCAGGATTTAAGTGTACACTGAAACAGATCCATAGCAAGCAGTGAGGGTTGGCACTGGGGCATTGCTCTCTTGGTGTGCTGTCTGTCCCTCAAGGAGAAATTCTGGTGGCTCAGAATTTCACAGCAGCGTGTCAGGGCCCTCCTTTGCCTGCTTATGTGCCTTCAGAGGCCAAACCAGCATTCCTAGTGGTGGTCACCTCAAGCTGTCGTAGTCCAGGGTGAGTTTGGACATCACCACTTGGCCATGTAGGAGCTCATGTCAACTCCCTTCTTGAGAAGCACCTGATGGCACACCTGCAGAAGGTGGAAGGATGTACAGAGATGAGGGTGACTGGACTGAATGGTGACAAGGAAATAAATGAGTTTGGCCTGATAGCTGGAAGGTGGTAACAATGGACTGTGAGGAGGAGGGGAGACTAAAGCTGGGAGCCATGAACAGCTGGTGTCATCTGAGGGTAGAGGAGAGTGGAGGAATCACATGAAGTGGGGCTGGGGAGGTGACTGGCTGTGGGACAAAGTGGAAGTGAATGAAAAGGAGGTGGAAGAAATGAGGCTTAATCTAGTCAGGTAAGTGAGGAAAAAAACCAAGAACTATTGTAAGGAAAAGTAACCCTTGATTTCAATGAGAAAAGCTAACCAGGCCAGAAGATTGCTTGCTATATATTTCCCAACTTTCAGTAACTTGTCCTCAGCTTCACTCTCTCTAAGCAGAGCTTTGTGATGTGTGGATAATTCTTTTGTATTAGATGCTTATTATGTATTATGCTATTACAGATATTACTCGTGTGTGTGTGTGTGTGTGTGCATAATGTATGCAGTACTGTGCTAGGCTTCAGGGACTTCAAGATAGGCACCACAAGCACTGGTCACTTGTTTGTACTCCCTGGTAGCTTTTTTGGTTGAAATGATTCTTTTGACTAAAGACTGGCGAATGTGACCCATTGACTTGCTGACACTGTGTGCTAATGTGAGACTCTGGAGAGAATAGTAAGCCACCATCCCCTGCCATGGCCATGTTAGTATCAGAGTGAGTTCATTGTGGCAGAGGATTCAGTCCAGTGTTCAGCCTAGCTGGTTGTTTTCATATAACACTGGAAGCTTGAAGTTGTCTTTAGTTCTCTCTTGCTTTTTTTGCTTGGAAAGCATCCAGACAACTGCCATTTTTGCTCAGTGTAAGGGATCAAGGATTCAATACGTATGTTGGGACTTACTGTGAAATAGAAATATTTACTGCTGCCAAATAGCAAAAGAGGACATGATAATTTTGAGGAGACTGCTCATACAGAAACCGTTGTTATTTTTACAATAAAAGCTTCTTCAAGCAATTAAGAAAATGCTTTTTTCCACAGCTCTAGTATTTGTCATTGTTAATGGGGTATTTTCTTTTTTCAGAACAATAAATCTAAACAGTAGTTTACTGCAACAAGTAATGGAAAGAAAACGTGAAGTGCTGTGCATCTTGAGAGAAAAGATAATAACAACTCAGAAGTGTACAATATCTGAACATATCCAGACAGAAGAAAAAGTCAGTGGTGTGATGGGATGCACTACGAAAACAGTAAAGGTAAAAGTTGCAAAAAACTGCAAGGAATAGAACATGTGCAGATTATTTGAGAAGAAATTATGATTTCTTCAGCTAGACTTCAGAGGATTTTTCATGCTTCCTGAACATGTTGAACAAACTGCATTGCTTGGTTGAGAAACTTCAGAAAGGTGAAATGGTTTTTCCATTGCCTCATTGGCACAGAATGCCATTTCTTAGTGTGAGCTCGGAATGTGGTTTCAATTATCAAATTTTAATTCAGTTTCTGTGTAGGTTCCTGCCTACAGCAGAACATAAAGCAAGCATATAACAATTCAGTGAAAGCCAAAGAGCAAATACCATTGCTGAAGCAAATTTATTTGAAAGGCCAAGTAATTATTCATCAGGAATGGTTGCAGTGTCTACTGAGTTTTCATATGTATTGGGAAGCTATTTGTTTTCAATCATGGGAATAGAGATCAACTTCTTTATGAGGATATCTGAAAAATTGCCTATGAATTGAGAAGGAATTACCGAAGTCAAAACATATGCTCATTCATTTAAAGTTGCTGGGTTTTTTTTAAAGCTGGTGCTGAATCACTTCTGTGTACAGGGTGTCTCCAGTAGCAGAAATCGTTGCAGTACAACAACCTTCTGTGCAAGTTCCACCTTCCTGGTACCATCTCCTTCTGGGCAAAATAAATGTCAAGATAAAGCTGGGCAGTGGAGGATACTGAAGTGGATGCCCTAGTGATAGGGTGTTTCATGTGTGGAAAAAGCTGCACCTGGAGCTCCACTTGATGCTAGGACAGGGCAGCTAAGAATTTGGGAGCTGCTCTTGGCAGTGTATTTCCACCTCACTCTTCATCTATTTCCTTTCATATATGTCAAATGTAACGTGTGCTTTAGTTAGACATCATGGAGAACAAAGCACATCCTTTCTCTGTAGAGGGAAAGGATTTTTCACCTTAATTATGTGTTTAAGCTGTGCAATAACTTACAGTGAATAAATTTGTCTTCTAGGTTTCGGTAAGTGAAAATGGAAGTATGATGAAGGATTCTAGTGTGATCCTTGAAATTCCACCTGCAACTACTATTGCCTATGGTGTAATCGAACTGTTTATAAAGCACAGTGGCCAGTTTGGTAAGTAAAAAGCTCATTTTTCTGTGGCACACAGTTCAGCTCTGGGCAAAGCTGTCTGTGGGGCAATGACTTCCATTTCCCTGCGCATGAAAGTGATGATGTTGTATGGTCTCACTTGCTTTTATAGTGATATAGTGCTGGCAGGCTGCACTTCTGATTTAGTAATGGTTTTTAACTTGCTTGAATAAATTGTAAACTCAGAATAGCTTAGGTTTCAGGGGGCTGCAGGTCACCTAGCTCAAGCCACAGCTCAAGGCGGGTCCAACTTCTGAACTGAGATCTGAGTTCAGAGCTAGATCAGATTGTCTGTATCCTTGTCTATTCTAAACAATCTAAATCTAAACTTAGATTATCTCCAGAGACAGAGATTCCATCACTCCTTTGGGCAGCCTGTTATCATGTTTGACCACATGGTGCACTTTTTTTCCCCCTTAATATCTAATGAGAATTTCCCTTTCTTTGCTTTGAGTCTCTTGCCCTTTTTTCTGTCATCATACAGAAGAGTCTGTCTCTGTCTTCTCTTCATGCTTCCATTGGGCAGTTGTAGATAGCAGTAAGGTTCTCCCTCAGCAATGCTTTCTCCAGGCTAGGCAAACCCAATCTCTCAGCCTCTCCTCATAGATGGTGTTCTCCAGCCCACAGTGATCTTGATGGCTGTTTTGCTACATTGCTCCAGTATGTGAATGTGTGGCTTGTACTGGGGAGTCCCAGACTGGACACGACACTCTGAATGCAGTCTCCCAAATTAAAAGATCACTTTCACTGATCTGCTAGCTACACTGCTGTCTGTACAGCTCAGTATGCAGCAAACTTCAGTGATTGCAAGAGCACACTGCTGATCCACTAAGATTTCTTGTTCAGGTCTTTTTCTGCCATTTTGCTTCTAGCTAGCTGCCCCTTGGCCCATGCTGTTGCCTTCAGCTGTTGGCAGGAGAGTGACCTGAATATAATTCAACCAGGAATGTTTAGACAACAGTCATGCTACATAAGAATCATTCATGTAGGTCTGGACTTCAAACTTTTCTAACTTACACTTTGATATACAGATTGCCCTCAGAATGGTTACAGAAATATCCTTGTCATGTTTTCTGGTCAGGCTTTACTTATGTCAGGTTAAATGTTTTTTCAGGTTAAAAAAACGGTTGAAATTGGCTTTGGGGGGAGTTGTAACTCTGCTCTGCAGAATCACTTGGGTTTTTCTTTCCTGTCTATCCTCATTTAAACTCCCTGAGCTAAAGGAGGCTTCAGGGGATGTTATGCAAGAAGGAAGAAAATTGGATGGGTTGTGTACAGCTGGAAGTTGTAAAGGACTGATGTGGAGAGAAACAGGAGATACATTGAAGAAATAATTGAAGTACAGTTGAGATTTGAATCCAGGATAGACTTTATTTGGATAAGAAATGCAGAACATAACTCTCCATCATTCTCCTTCACCTGACTTCTGGTATTAAGGAAGTCTGTAGGCTCAGGAATAGAAGTAAATATTATGTAACCTGTAAAAGGTTTCTGAAATGTGGAATTGCTCTGACGTAGACTGAACACAGAGATAACAGCAGAGGACATTGACTTCATGGTTATAATAGAGCTGTAATTTAGAGTAATCAGGTACAATTAACTGTGTCTGACTGCATAGGTGTATAGCTGATAGCCTGCTTAGGTGATTTCTAGATGAAATTCTTATGTCCTGCTAGCTGACAATACATGAGTTTTGTTGATGATTTACATTTCTTTTTTTCCACTCCTGCTTCTTTTTCCACTCTTTTTTTTTTTTCATATTTACTGTTCAAGTCTAGCATTAAAGCTTCGAAATCAGCACAGGTTGTTTAATGATTTATCTCAAATAAGCTGTGTTTTGCCTCTTTTTTAATTTGTGCTGTTGCCCCTTGTCGGATTGAGAAGGTAAATGGAAGGAACTAATTACAAAATTAGGGATTTGCCAGTAAGAGTGAGTATGGTGGAGCCTAAACTTCAACTTCTTAATGTCTGAGCAGTGATCAGTGTCTGTTTATGGAAACAGAAATAGCCTTTGAAGTTAAATCCAGGAACTAATGTAGTGCTTTGTCATGAGAGTGAAATTGACCAGTAGCAGGTGTAACCTAATGGGATTCTCTTCACGGATAATTAGGGAATAAGGTGCATGGACATTTTTTATTGTTTCTTTTTATTTGCCCCTGACTGTGCTTGAGTTATCCTGTAGAGAAGAATGGTATATAAATTTTCTCTCAAATCTTCTGGCCTGGGTGACTGGACATGCTTGGGCGTTTTTATAAATCAATTTTTACAAAAATCTAATCCTTTTCTGATCCATTTACCAGTGTTTTCCTGTAATCATTCTTTCTGGTTTCTACAGGCTACCTTTCCACTACATGTAAAAGCTGTTCCTGGCAAAACCTTCATGGTTTTGTGCCTCTACAGTTGCACTGCAAGTCCACTCGTTCTTACTTTACAAAACAGGGGTATAGTAGCACCCAGCTGAATTGCTTCAATCTGTTCTTTGCTATATATATGTGACTTGCTTCCTACTAAATGTCTGTAAATTAAACTCCTAATCTTGTCTACTTTTCCACACAAAGGAGTCTCTTTGATAGTTTTCACTGATCATCTCTGGTTTTCTTGCATTTTTGTTAATGTTTGTGAGTAACTAACAAGCTCTAACTGCACTGTTGGAGGTTTGTCATCAATGGATGTAATAGAATTCAATAGAGAACTAATTAACAGTCCTATTAATACAAAACTCAGAGTCCTGTGTTTTCCTCTGAATTGAGTCCTGTTACAAGATTTCACAGCAGGGTCTGTATCTCTTAATACACAGCATCATCTGAAAAGTTTGGTTTCCCTTATTAGTATCATTCTGCCTCAGGAGGGGAAGCAGTTTATTATCGCTGTCTTCCTCCTCGGGGTTCATGTGAAGCCTTGTTAGTATCAATGAAAGTTACGTGAGCATGTTGGTCTCATGGTGCCTCTGCTGCTGTCCAGAGTCTTGTTGCTTTGGGAAGTTCTTTAGCTTGTGTTAATCGCTTTCTGCTCCTCTGTAGCTCACTCTGCTCTGTGAAGGGTTATGCAGGCATAAAGGTCTGTCATCTTTCTTGCTCTGTGGCAGAGATTTCTTTGTCTGCTTTCCCTTTGAAAAAGCTTTTTGCTGATGGAGTGCTCTCCATGCTTTCTCATCTGCTTTGAATGTCCTTAATTTAGTGAGACAGACTCTTACAACTGCAGGAAGGTTATATTTAGGCTTTGTGCCTGGTACACATGAGCACTGTGCTTGATTAGTTATATTTTTTTCCCTTTGCTGTCAGGTATTACTTTAAAATTGAGTTTCTCTTGCTAGCCTGCCTATGTTCTCCTCAGACCTGCTGCAGAGTGCCAGTGCTACAGTTTTGAATTTTGCATTTGAGCCAGTAAAAGATGATCAGAGTATGCATAGGGCTTTGTTTGCACGCTGCATCTGTGGGCCACAATATTGGGCACATGAGCACAGAACTCGATACTCCAGGTTTCTCAATGTAACCTTCAACAAAGGCTCTCTGCACCTTCCAGGAGTCCCATAGCTTCCACAGCTTGGGGACATTGGGGTGGCAGGAAACAGGCAATCCTGTTTGGGTGAGGTCAGCCAGTGCTTGTCACAAAGACCAGGCAGAAAAGGTCGTCCAGCCAAGGGTGTGTTACTTCCTCCACAAAGTTACTGCAAAGGGACAGTATATTGCAGAGTGATTCTGCTAGAGAACATGCCTTGGTGGCATCCTTTAGAGACTCAAGAGACCCCTATTTTCCACTCATCTGGAGAGCTTGAGGATGAACCTGTGGCTTGGCTAAGAAAGAGGAGGCTGTCAGTGCCATGACCAAAGAGCTCTGTAGAGCTTTTACAAATCTCAGAGAGTGCTTTTGTGTGTCTCCATCATGAGTGGATCCCATAGCCTGCATTACAGCACACCTCTTGATGGGTAGAAAGCATCAAGGATGCTCCTGTTCGCAGCATTCAGGTTTATGGTGTTGGAGAGAAGTTTTCATGGTTTTTGCTGTCTGCATTACTTTAGTTCACAGGAATTGGTGTCACATTTTGTAGGTGGCAGCTGCACCACAGGATCTTTGTCTGTGCACACTGTACCAAACCTCAGGGCTGCAGTAATGCTCAATAATTCACATGCATAGCAACCACTGGCATTCTTTCCATCTGGAAGAGGCGAGACGTGGAGAAATCACATGCGAGAACACTAGAAAATATAAGCTTGCATCTCATTCGGTAATTGCTCGTGTGTTTTATTAATTATTGTTTTTAATTGAATTTCTAATTGCAGAGTTCTGTCTGCTAGATGAACAGCAAGGAGGTTTTGAAAAAGAAAGCACAGAAGGCTCAACTTATCCCCATTCAACTCTATTCAGAGATACTTCATTTCTCTATCAGCCAGATGCTGTTGATAATGAGACCTACTCTGGGGCTAGAAACCTCATTCCCAGTGATGCTTCTTTAAGTGTATTGAAACAAGGTATTACCAGAAATGCTGTACATGATTATATTACAATGAATTTAGCAACATGATAGGGAGAAATAATCTGGTACAGTAGAACATAAAGAAATCTTGTTAGTTCATTTTAATAGCCCTTATCAGAACTCTTGGGGGAATGCACTGAAAGAATATAAAAAATTAGTTCTGCAATAGGTATATGCAGTGGATTATTCCCTAGGAACATCCTGAATCCATTTGTCATAAATACGATCTTACAAAGCCAGGTGTTTATGCCAGTTCTGTTACATTCCAGATAAACTCTATGAAATTAGTGATGATTTATGCTTTCATTCAGAAAGGGTCACTGAAAATTTTTATTCATTATTTTAAAAATACTCTCAGTAAAGCTTCTCAGGTAAAGGTTATTGTAAGTCTCAGAAATTAGAAAGACATCTCCCCCACCTTCACTTAGCCTCATTATTTTCCAGGAAGCTTTATAACTGACAAAATTAAAATGTGACTGAAATGGAAGTTTGTAAATTGGTACAATGGGCCAGGTACAAGTTGTTTATTGTAGGAATGTGGAAAGAAGGGGCAGGATTGTTACCAGAGGAATGAGAAAAGGGAAACCAATCAAGGCTTCAGAACACACTGTGCTTTTCATCAGTTCTTGGTAGAATTCTTACAGCTGGTTCTAATGGTGAACATCACTTCTGTTATATCTAAGTATCGCCCTTTGTTAATGGCTGCTCAGTAGACTGTGGCCAAAATAGATACTTACAGTCCTGAAATAAATCCTGTCATTCTCCTGTGTAGACTTGCTTGAAAGGAATAACTGTGTCTCCATGTGTATATAAAAACCACTTGTGAAAGAATGGTATGCCACTGTTTTGGGTTTTGTTTTAGCCTGACATACCTTTGTGCCTTTTTTGCTTTAAAAGGCTCAGGGATTTCTTTTAATTAAATAACCTGCACTGTCTCTTGGGGGGGAAAAAACCCCCAACTAAAAAAATTGTTTCTACTAAGGGATTTGGAAGTAGGTTTCCTCTTCTGTTATGTGTATAGATCAGTCATACAATTGCATCAGGTACAAAAAATACCTGCCTGTGGCTTGGCTTTTTTTTTTCCCAGTGAAAAAAAGCTGAGATGGGGGGATTCAGATTAGATATTAGAAAAAATGTTTCCACTGTTAGGGTGGTCAGGCATTGGAATAGGTTGCCCAGGAAGGTGGTGGAGTCACCATCCCTGGAAATGTGTGAGGCATCTGGATCTGGCACTGGGTGATAGGGTTTAGGGGTTACTGTGGAGTGACATGTTAATGGTTGGACCTGATGATCTTAGAGGTCTCCTTCAACCTTGATTCTATGAAGTAGTTTTTTAGATATAAAAGGCATCTTTCAAGAGAACATGTTTCTGACTGGAGTGGCATGAAGGAAGATCTATTTTAAACATGGTTGAGAACACTTGCATGCCCTTATTTTTGGAATGTGGAAAAAACCCATTCCAACCTTCCAGTTGGCATTATTGATTTGAAAACTTGTTTTCTTTTGGCAAAGTGGTAATTTGATGTCACAAAACATTTAGTTTTGCTATCATAGTTGAATTGTGGGGAAAAGAAGTGCAGTGCAGTCTCTTGTACTTCTGTTGTATGTGTTGTAGTGGATTGAAGATTTCGATTAAGAAGACATTTTTGTCCTGAATTTTGTAATAACAATTAGATCAGGGGTGAAGGGTTGTGATTCTTTGATGCACCTGATGAAATATGAGGACAGCAGTTCAGGATCACAGTAGATCTGTGTGTGGACTCAGAGCATTGACTTGGTAATTCATATTAACCCAAAGATTAAGAAGTAAATTTATGAGAACTCTTCATACTGCCTTATAAGTGAAGTGAACATTCTGTGGAGATGAAGTGGGAAACTTTAAATATACAGTTAGTTTGGTTAACAATAAAATACTAAGTGCTAAAATATAAAAAATCCTGAACACCAAATGTTGATCCTTGGTAGCTCTGTTTCTTTCCTGGAATTTTCATTGAGGTTTCATTGGCTTATTAGGAAGTATAATCAGATTTGTTCCAGCCTTGCACTGTAACTTGTGCTGATGGAAATCAGGATGTTAAGGTGTGGTGATAAATTAGCTTATGAAATGCATAGCAAAAATGTTAACTGTTTTTACTTGTATCTGTGTAGAAATACTTAGTTTTGCTTTTTACTGCTTTCCTGGGAAAGGTCTGTCACAGTTGAAGACTCAGTTCCAGCCCTTTGTGAGGCTTACAGAAGACAAGCAAAGAGCTCTATATAAAACCCTTAGTGAACTCCTGCTCCATGAAGAAACGGTGGCTGCCCTGGGGGACGTGGTAAGATGAAGAAACTTTAGCTTGCTTCCTAAAAGTAATTTCAGAATAGCACTAGCATATCTTTTGGGCTTGAATTTTTCTCTTTTCAACAAGTTTTGCTTATTCTTTTGCTTTCAGCTTGATGATATCTGCATGGGAGACAAACCAGACCTAAAGGAGTTAAAACTTGCAGAGCAAAGAGACCTGGTTGACTTCTTGCAGCTCTTAGGGTGCAGCTTACAGGGTGAGCTGTTGTTGCAGAAATATCAGCCTCAGGATGAAGAACTTTTCTCAGCTGCTCACCTTCTCATCAGTGCTATCTCTGGTATGTTCTGAAGAGCTCTATCTTCTTTTAGTTCTGTTTTCCTTGTAGAAGCTCCCTCCATGTTAAAGCAGTTATGGCTCTCTCCAAGCAGTTGGTGAGCTGAGTGAACATAAATTGTTCTGTTTTCTTTTTATGAGTTTGGTATACTGTGCTTAGCATTCCTGGCTGTGAATTAAATTCAGCCCTCGATAACTGACAGGTTCTGCGTGTAAAATACACATTCCCCCGAGGCTGCTCTACTCTGCCTGTGCTGAGTGTGGGCATTTGCAGTTTGGCAAGCTAATTTCTGTACTTAGTGCATGCCAGAGTTCTTCCCGCCTAAACAAATTAGGTGTTGCCGCCTGTGCAACAGTGGATATTGTTGGGGTGCAAACTAAATTTAGCAGAAATGAATTTTAACACAGAGACACTGCAATTAGAGGGCTGTTTTGCAGCTGCTCAAATGGGAGATTAAACACAAATGTCAAACAAATGCCATCCTTGCAATCTAGTTGGCACCACAGTGCTAATTAAAAGCTACCTGCAAAGTCCAAGACAGACTTCCCTGGATTTTTCTCTTCCCTCTCGCATATAAATAATTTCCTGACATTAAGATAACGAAGGGAAGTCCAGTATGGATGTGGCACTCTGCAGCAAAATGTCAGTGTGCATCCATATATGCACAGCACTCAGGTAGGAAAGCTTAACTCATTTGTGGAGACAGAAAAGAAATAGAAAACAGAAACCTGCTGATGTGGTAACACTTGTCAGATGCTATTAACAGCAGGGCACCGTTAATTGAGTGTGTTGCATTATCACCTGACTTTGGACATAATGTCTGCTGCTAAAGTCCAGGTGTAATTGTAGCTGCATCAAGATTGAAAAGCTGTTTTATGCTTGTTGCTTCTGTTAGGAATTACAGCCTTTTTGTTATGGAGTTGAAGGACATCACAGGGATCATTTAGTCCACCTCTCAGCCCCAAGGCAGTCTCAGCTGTGTCATTCCTCTCAAACTCTGGTTTGCAGAAGTTGTCATCTCATATAGGTTTTGAGACCATGGGTTCTAGCTTTATTCAAGGCCTAAGTCATTCATCTAGCCTGGAGAGTGAAACACTGGGGACATACATAGGGAGGGGACAAGGATGAGGAGGAGGAGCTCCCCTTTCCTACTTTCCCCTTTTCTCAAGAGCAGAGATAGTCAGACCCATTGCCCATCCCATTTCATTCTGAAGGCAAGAAAGGGCTGGATCAGCCTCTTCCAAACATCCAGCTGAGCACGTGACAGCTGCCCTCAGTGCTGAATCATTTGGTCTCCAGCATCCATTTCACAAGGTGCTGTACCTGCTGCAGAAATGCTCAGCAGGAGAACCCCGTAACAGAGCTCCCTGTTAAAGCTCCCTTTCCAGCAGC